GGGGGCAACGCAAAATAGCAACTGCTGTGAAAATGCAACCTGAGAGCTTAAACAAACTCTAATTTTGGTTACGGCCTCCAAGAATGTGAGGATCTTTACGTCTGTTTTTAACTAACCAGAGGTAACACAGATGTTTAACGCTTCCCGGGGCTGCCGAGAGTGATGCTCATACAGTAGGGGGAAAAAAGGGATGTCTCCTGTAGGGATGGAGTATCACTGTGTGGGTGGGAAAACCTCACCTCTTTGTACTCCTGAATCTGGCTCTGCTCAAACATGGAGAACACGTTGGAGGAGCCGCTGTCTCCTGCTGCCTGCCTCCTCTTGGCCTTCTTTGGTGCCTGGAGGACAAACACAGGAGTGCAATCTTCAAGTAAGTCAGTTAGCTTCTGGCTAAAACTCACAGTGATGCTACAGAGCGCTGTACAAGTAGAGATTCCCAACCTTTTTTGGCTTGTGACGCCTTAAGATTAACTAAAGTATACCCTCATATATCCACTATAAAGAGTATTTTTTTCCTATGAAATTCATGTGTTTTCATTGTTTTACTACAAAAACTAAATTTAGAGGAAAGACTGAAAACATTTTGTGTAACAGAACAATATTTTTCTTCTTTCCTGTCCCATCAATCATGTCCCGACCCCTTAGATGTATCTTGTTATCCCTTAAACAGGTCTTGACCACCCCCCAGGTTGGGAACCATTGCTCTAGCAGATGCCACAGGTTAAGACATTTTTTATCTTCTTGTCCTGAAATTGGCCCTGCAGATGTTTGAGATTTACATGCAAACTAGAATTTAACAACAAATTAGCACCCAAGCATCCTTAGAAACTGCATCACCAAGAACTGCAAAAAAAAAAAAAAATCCACCAAAAAAAAAGTCCAGAATCACTTCATCTACTGCAAGCTCCCATATTTTTGTTAATATTGTTTCAAGCTTAGACCCCCCAAAAAATGCATCAGAAAAGTGGAGTTAATCCATAGGGTTTGGTTTGATCCCCCTGTAGATGTTTCCACCAGCAGAGTGCAGAGATGTGGGAACCCTGGTACTCACCATCTTGAGACGGTTTGAGTGGAGGTTGGGATGATCAAGAAGGAGAAGATAGTGTGAAGCCGCGTTATACGTTCATCCCCGGGGGCTTATATACCAACGCAGCCCAATCTAACTTTAGCCACAGCCTCAAGTTTGGATGGGGGATAAAAAGAGAGAGAGGCAGAGAGAGAGAGAGAGAGAGATAGAGAGAGAGAGAGAGAGAGGATGATCAAGGATGGACGGATGGCAAAAGTGGAGGAGACAGAATGGCGGTACAGCATATCACCTTACAGGAGATCAGAAATAGACCCAGGAGTCTTGGAATTAAGTAAACCTGATAGCTGGGGGACCACGCTGCAGGTTTTGCAGTCCCACGTGGACTAATAAGGACATTCGGGACATAGATGCTTGTTGGACCACTGGACACTGTCTCTCCACCCTCCTGCTGTCCACCTCCATCTGCCTGCAGGGAGGCACAGCGGCCACTCGCTCACTTTATTTTTGGTTTGTGATGTCCATTGCGATATTACAGACCCGAGACACAAGCAATCTATACCCTCAGCGACTGATGCAGCTTTTACCCTGTATGTGCACAGCTTGGCTTTCTTATTTTAAGTTAAGTGACAAAGTAGTGATGCTAATGTCAGATTTGGGATTTTCCCACAGATGTAATGACGGACTCCGTGGTGACACCAAATATGTACTATTGCATGAAAGCATCGTTCCAAATATTAATATAAATATCTCTTCACACAACAAACAATATGGAGGAACGGATATCTGTGGCAATATTAAAAATAACTGGGATAAAATAAAAGATAATTATCTTCGGATATGCATGCTTACATACTGAATAAGTGTATAAGTATGCCCATATACATTACTTTATTACATATCTTTATTTACTTTTCCTTGTTTTGTATGTTTATTATTCTAGTCTATCATGATGAATTTAGGGTATTTACATAATTTATTAATTGAATTATTAAAGATAAAGTATATAAATTGTTGCTTTAAAAGTAAAAACAAATATTTGTTTGAATTATCTGTGATGAATTAAGAATAACTTTCTATTAATCAGCTAAAAATACTAGAACTTCTCATAATCATAATTATTATTATTGTTTTTGTCATCATCAGGGTCATTATCTTTGACTGTGAGGCACAAAAATTAAAAGACATAAAAGTACTATCATCAAAATGTACTTAAAGTATCAAAAATGAAATCCCCCTGTGAAAATATGACATTATTAGATTGCTAATAGTAATCAAGGTGTAAAAATCATTTTACTGTTGTAGCTGATTGAGGTGGAGCTATTTTTAAATACTTTTTTATATACTGTTAACTAGTTTAGTCCAGTGGTTCCCAACCTGTGGGTCAGGCCCCTCCAAAAGGTCACCAGATAAATCTGAGGGGACGTGAGATGATTAATAGAAGAGGAAAGAGGAGAAAACAAACTACTCATACAAAAATCTAATAAACTTGTATTTATTTTCTGTTTCTGATTCATGCTTTTTGTACCTATTTTGGCTCCTCAAAAAATATTTTAATGAAACGATCTGAGAAGATTAATCAGGAAATCTCTCTTTAATGCATCTGTCACATCTGAAATGTGACACGGATTCCCAAATACTGACACTGCTTTTTTTGTAAGCCATAAAAGCTTTAAAGCAATTGATTTAGTCTTTAACAACACTTTGTTATTTCATATAATGTTTATTGTTCATATAAAAATCTTAATTTGTAAAGCAAGAAACAAAACATAAAAAGTAGGAGGAGTAAAAAGTACAATATTTACTGAAATGTTGTAAAAGTATAAAGAAGCATAAAATTAAAATGGAAATACTTACAGTACTTGAGTTAATGTTGCTTTCCACCACTTTATAGAGACAATTGTGTAATTAAGTTTCACAGTTAATTTATTATGAGCAGAAGTCAAAATGTTTCAAATCTGAAAGCATCTAATTTCATAAATTAAAGCTGTGTTTTGTTTTAGTTTTTTTAAACTCAGTAGTGTATTATAGAAATGTGTGTTTCTTGTGCCTGTTTCCTGTTTTGTTTCTTTTATCTATTTATTTTTTTCTGAGGACAGGATGGTTTTTGAATGACAACAAGCCAGCCAAGTGAAAGCACCATCAATCTCTGGCTGTTGTCCTGCGTTCTCATCACTGTAAAGGTGTGTTTGGTGATTGGTCTTTGTCATGAAAACTTTCCCACCTGTTTGCCCTCTGCCCCCCGCCTTCCCCACCCTGTAAATATAAGGGGATTACTTGGCAGGGTGATGGCAGCAGACATTCCCAGAAGAACATAAAAGGGACAGCTGAGGGCGACCAAAATAGCTAAATAAACTTGATAGTCTGCCAACTTGCGGGGCCCTGAGAGCAAAATGCTTTCCTTCATTAGTTTTTTCAGGTTTTAACATCCAAATTTACCTCAGATAATCTGTTTTCATTTCATTAACAACTTTGTTAATCTTGTCTATTGGAGGAATATTTATTTTTGCCTCCTCTGTGGTTGTGACTGTTTGTGTTTCCACTGATCTCCACGTCATGAGTCAGTCTGCTCTTTACTGGTTTCCACTCCTGCCGTAATTTGGATTAGACAGACGTGTGTTTGTCTTGGGCATTCAGGACATCCAGAGCCCAGCGCTAGCTGTCAGTCTTCCCCTGGTGTGCCTGTTGACCTTTGACCCCCTGCTTAGTTGATTATCACCACCTTGTTGCAGGAATGAAATATGTCACAGCAAACATGTTCTGAATTGCATTAAATTCAGCAGTTTAAGATACAGTGACATTATATGAAGGCATTTGTGTACATATCCTTTGTATGATGAGATTATGCTCTAATATTCTCTCTGAAACATGGACATCTCTTCACGAATGTGTCAGCTGCCACAGTTCACTAACTTTACACAGTAGTGAAAACACAAAATAGTCTCACTCCCCAATGTGTTTACACGCTGCTATCACGAGGAGCTGTTTACCATACAGATGTCTATACATTACAAGAGGCCTTTGCTGTAATGTGAAACGTTTCGCCACGCTCCTCTGAAGCCATCTATCACTTTTTAGATGATTGGTATGTCTGTCTGTAGGGTTAGGAATGTGGAGAAGCTCCCAGCTTGTCTTATGGAGGCGGACGACCGTAAGGAACCGTGACATGGGTGACACAGGAGACGTCATAATTTGTATACTCTGCTGTGTTCGATTACCAGCCAGCCTCAGGTTGCCCTGTTTTGTTATTTGATCTCATTAAGCATTGTGTTACATTAATTGCCATACATTTTAAGTTAAAGGGCAGGTCAGATGTCAGATTTTGCTTTTTTCTGGTGTTACTGAACTTGGTTGAGGCATGGCAGCTGAGTGAACAGTTTAAATATAAAGCTTATTACACTGCTTTTCTTTGCCTTGGAAACAGTTGCTTTGTTAAATTAACCCAGTGGATTCAATGGCAATTACATTCAGACATTGTGTAATTATCCAAGTAAATGAGTAGATAACTCAATTAAAGGCATTTAATTTCCCAAAATACTGAACTTCACTGCATTATTTTTTTCTCTTGCATACTTCCATAAACCAGTGTGCTATTTCTGAATTTCTAAATCACACTGCTGAGATTAAAATACACTTTTTAAATTAGGTTGTGCACTGCCGCCTTGAGTCAGCACACGGTGCCTACAGCACCCTCTGCTGTCTACCTTCCTCCATTAACTGCCATATAGTGCCAGTCACACACATAATCTTTATCTGCTTGCTTCAAAGATTCCACTGTACAAAATAATGCTGTTATTTAATATAAATATTCAAACACAAGATTATGTGAGTAAAATAGACTTAATTATCTCTGTCCGCTGTTTGTTTCCATATTCTGGCTTGTAATTCTGGTGGAAAGATTTTTTTGGAGTTTTTTGTATTAATGTGTAACCCAACAATTATTAATAATAATAATTCATTAAGAATTAAATTTAACTGTTTCAAGATCATGGTTATTGTACATGCTGGCTTATTGTCACATTGTTAGGCCTATTTCTGTATGACCAAATACCATAAAATGGAAAATTCTCGCTGCCTCATGTTGTTTTAAACTTTATGATCTAAACTAGAATATGAAATAATAAAGTCATGTTTGTGTTTGTATCTGAGTATCTTATCTGATAGACAGTAGGGCTTTATATCAACATTATGAAACATTTAAGTCGGCAGATCAATTTAATTTTTTCATGCAATGAAAAATATATAACACTCTTTGCTTAATACTGGTTTAAAAAGGCCCTTTTATGCCATGGATAAAATTGTTAATTGCACCACATGTGAGTACTAAACTGCTCAGTGCATATGCAACTAGCTGCAGGTTCAAACTACCTTAGAGAACAAACAAAGACTAGGAATTTTTCATGGAAGACATGTTACAGTATGAAAAGCAGTAAAAGCAAAAGTTACAAAAATAAATAAAATAATGATGGCTGAATTCTATTTAGCTGCTTCAGTTTCAGGGTCACTATTACAATGTCACAGCTTTCACTTAAATAGAATAGAGACAAAAAAAAAGCCCTGTCTGCACATTGCTTCTTGTCCAAAATGTGCAGATATCTGCCTGACTTTTGTTGCATCCCATGGATACTTTAAGGCAAATTTACAGCTAAATCAGAAAAATTAGCAACCTACAGGTAGTTTATATATTATTTGTGACATCTCAACAGCTTAGTTGAGCTTCGACAACCGTTTTCTGATATTTACCACTGTGGTTGAGGTTTGGTTCGGTTTAGGCACAAAAGAAAAATCTTCCTGTTCATGAATTGTTAAAAATATTACATATGTAGACAAAGTGAAACAGCTGAAATGTTACAAATATCCTATAAAGTACAATATCTGTAGGCAGAAACTCATATGAAATGGAAGGAACATTTAGCATTTACAGGTGTCTGGACAATATGTTCTTAAACAGGAGAATAACTCACAACACTTCAGGTTGAGTTCCTTTTTAACACACACAAAGCACTCCATCTCATTTCCTCTTAAATGAGTCTCTGAACTGGACACCGGTTTGTTTTTTCACCCCAGGTCGATGAGGTCTCCCTCGCTGTGCTCCTCTTTTGCTTGTCGACTCTTCACCCATTCCTCTCTTGCTTTCTTCACTTCCTGGCCGTAATAATCATGAAGTTTGCTAAACTCCTCAAGTGGATCAAACCCCACCAGAGGCCACTCGCCATACAAAGGCGCCGGTCCATTAAGTGGTGTGACATGAGCATTTCTCCTGTGCCACAGTTTAGGAGACTTTCTAGCTACCACTTTAGAGGGTGCTGGTAAAACAGTGCTGGCACTCAAGCTTCTCCCCTCCCTGACCCCTGTGGAGGGCAAGTAGAAGGTGGTTGTAGATGGTTTGAGGGCACTGACAGAGGAGCTGTGGCGGGATTCACCAGAGCCTTGTTGTTTAGCTTCTGCAGATGGAAAACAGCAAAAATATTAGCTACTTATAAGGTTTATATATGAGATTTAAAACATTAATATAGCAGCAAGCAACTATTTGTAACGATATAGTGGAGCTGAAAATTATACTTAGACTTAATTAGACTGGAAATGGGGACAAATGCTACAAAATCCACTGACCAGCACCACAACAATATGCGTTTTTTATTTCTTGGCTGTTTTGTTGAAATAGTCTCATTACAGACGGCTTTAGAGGTGCTGGTAGGTGGATTTTATTACCTTTAGTTGGAGCCAGGCTAGCTGTGTCCCCCTGTTTTCATTCTTTATGCTAAGCTAAGCCAACTGGCTGCTGGCTGTAGCCATATATTTAAGAGTTAACAGCGATCGTCTTGTCTAACTCTCCACCAGAGAGTGATTATCTCCCAAAATGTCGAAATATAAACTATATAAACTATAATGCAGGCAATGAGGTGAAAACAAAAGGCAGTCTATAGAAGCACCAGTAAACAGAAGAAGGTCACACCACTAACATAACACACCTTCATACTGCCTCCCCAGATCTCTCACCAGCAGGGAGAGGTAACAGTGGCTGGCTGAGAGCAAAGCTTTCACCCAACTTTCTTGAGTCTGATGATCCCTTGCTGCAAACCTGTAGGTTTTCAGTCCAGGACCTTCAAACACCAGGGAAAAGGTAAACTGTCCATCAGACTCGGAGCGCCGGACCACACAGCCCTCCAGCACGATGACCCCCAGCAGGTGTCGGTCAGCTGGGCGCTCCTGGTAGAAAAGCAGGTTTGCCTTCAGGACAAACCACCGTCGGTGGTAGGTGGCAGTTCGCTCTTTCTGTGAACAAAGAAAGCAGGAGGATGCTATCAATACTCAAGATTCAGTTATTTTCATATTGTCTGTGTTTCATGTTCATCCAAACCTTTTTGTAGAGATATCCCTCTTTATCTACCGGAGAGGTGCATGATAGGTAATGGGTCAAAATCTTCTCATGGAGTTTCATCTCAACGCCTAAAGAAGAGGAAGTGCTTTTACATTTGGCACAAGATCACACTACAGAAATGATTTTCTACTTCAGTAAGCTCTTTAATATCCACCTATTATCCTGCACACTTGATGTTTGAAAGCAGCACTCTGTGTAGGTAATCATACACTACAGTATACCTACATAAATACTCTAGCACTCTACTTAAAAACAGGTTTGAGGTAGTTCTACTTTACTTTTTATTTCTCTACAATTCAGTAAATCGATGGGCATTTACACTGAAAACGGCATGAGATGTAACCACAATAAGCTTCCACTTTTCTGTAGATCTTTATTATTATTAATATAAAGAGAATATGACTTAGAGAAAATCTATATTAGTCTAATATACATTAGATACACACATAGATAGATAGATAGAT